TAGTCGTTAACGCTTGTTAACATCGTAGCGGTGGCGGCACTCTGATCTCCTCATGGGAGTTCACAGGTCGTTTGTGACGGGTCTCAACTGTAACATCTGGTTTGAATGAATTCGCCCTCATCCGATCACGATTCTTACGTCAGTAACACAACGCGTGATTCCGAGTTGGCTGTGATTAGGTATTTATAGAAACAAATGTACTCTTACTGGTAATATAATTGAATGTACTAGTATTCTAATGGCCTCGTTCATAAATCACTTTTTCTGACATTTTAAAATTGTTTTATGTATTATTTATGGTCAACATGAATAGTTCCCCTTAATAAAATAGATAAAAGAATCCCAGACAGTGTACTTCTAAATTTTTTTTTTACTGGGACCCAGTTATTGCCAGAAAGTCCAAGTAATTTCTGCGACGAATACTGCGATGATGCAAGTGTTATTCTACGGGAGGAAGGGGGGACGCGGATAGGCCTTTCAATCACGTTCTGCTGAAAGTAAATCAAATCCCTTGTGTGTCAACGTGGAGATGGAAACTGTATTGTATTTATTGCATATACCATGGAAGGTACCTTCCATGCATATACGTACTAAAATTCTTAGGTCTGTCATTTTATATTAAAAGCATTTGTATCAACCCATTTGATGAATGGCACTTTTCAAATGGTCGCATAAGTTGCAAAGTGATACAAAACTTTGCAATAAAATCGAGTTATAAGGAACAAGGGGCGAGAATAAGTAATGTAATATCGAATTGGAATAACAGAGAACCTTATTTCCTTGGCTTGTGCACCCTTCCCTGGGGCTGATGCGACCGGGAGATTGGATAAATCTCAAATAAGCTAAACTGAAATTTGAAATTTCACAGAGAACGATAAATTTTGCGCATATCGAGCGGAGTATCTTCAGAGACACTCGACATACGGGTCAGTGACCGATGCGGGATGATCCAAACTGAAGTCGTGCTTCTAAAAAATGTTAAACGTCAGCAATAATCAAATTAATTAGCATGAATTAAAACGAGTCTCAGTCTGGTCACTCTATGATACAGCGCTTCTGTCGCATTTCATTCGAACACACCTCTTCAACTAGCAACGTTCCTGTTGGAATATTGTACGAGAAAGACACAGAGTTGATTCACATCAGGAGCATTGAATTGAATTTAAACATCGCTTTGGTGAGTCATGTCATATTTTTTTAACCTATTAGCCGTCGTATTTTCCCACTCAATTTTAATGTAACATTTTCGCACATTTTTATGTATTTTTCAAAAATTTTGTTGGTAATTTTGGACCAAATAGTTATGAATCTACATGGTATACAGGTTTTGATCGTTTTTTAATGATGTGCGTTCTATTATATGAATGGTGACAACAGTTAACTTCACCGGTTTAGCACAAAATTATTTTCATTTATAAATAATCTTTAAACGATATACAAATCTGAAAATTAACGTGTTTAAAATAATCTTCAAAACAAATTACGTCTTTTTTATTTTATTTTAATCTAATAGTTTTTCAGATTATTTAATTGACGTTGTATTTATTTATTTTTACGGTAGTTTATTAGTATTTGAAAGTTAGACTAGTTCAAACCGAGGGAACTGAGTCCGCGATCGTCGCCATACTAATCAGCCTACTTCAGATTTGTCTTTCCACGTAGTGTTAATTGTTAAGTTATTTCTTCAGCTCGTAATTTCATTTTTTTGTTTTGTTTCTTTTATGGCGACCTAAATTCGTTTATTCGTTTATAAAATTTTTAGTAAAAAACATTTCATTTTCGAAATATCTGAAAAATCCAATTTACAGATCAGTGCTGTGTTTACATTACCATACTGTATCGTCTGGTGTTATAGTAGTGTAATAAAGTTACTATTATTACTATTAATAACAACTGAAACTGACACGTCACGTGAGAAAAATATCGACCCAGTTCCACGTGAACTTCGTTGGTTGTCATGACACTGAACTTTGTGAACGCATTTAGCTGATAGAAGTCGCAGATTCATACAGCCCTGATGTTACTTTGTACGAAAATCGACAGATGTCTAGAACTAACCCAATAATGGGAAAGAAAATTTACACTGAATCATTTCTTTTGTTCAGCTATTAATATCAAATTAACCACATCGTAGTTCCAAGTAAAACAGCAGCTGAATGGGCCTTCCATGGACGGGCAAACTTGTTCACATGGAGATTTAGCGACCTGGATGAATTATTAGAGATACAAACGCTTTGGTAAGATACCATTACGGTCGTTCTACACAGCCGAGGTATCGTTCCAGCATTAGGTCCATGGTACCAATGATAACACGATTCAGAGCGTGGACATACAGGCAGTGACACATTGTATCGCAAACTACACGGTACTGTCCAATCTGTATGACTATTTTGCGACCACTTGTTGTGAAAGACATCACGTAGTAATACGATTACAAACCACATAAATAACGGCTAATTTATTATCGAAATATAAATGTATAAGGTAAAACAAAAATTTAAATGATTTTTTCACGGCTATACACAACACATAGGGCCCACAGTTCTACCATGAAAACGGTATTATAAGACTTCTCAACCCATTTTGTAACAATATATATTTAATTAAAGTACCCTGAACGATGTTTTGAATACACATACACAAACGAATGCACTCATTCTGTAAGAAACAAATCTATAAAAAAAATAGCATGACACGTATAAATGTTTTTTTATCTAAATCTAATTAGCAGAATTCTAACATTGATTGGCTACTTGGATGACGTCAAAGTGCGTCGCTTGACAAATGCCCAACGTTTCACGTTAGGGTACTTTGTATCGTGACATTATACAATTTTGTTCTGAAAACTTACATGTGTTAACAATAATATTTTTACTTATTTAAAGGGAACCTCAATCCAAACAACATAATGACCCCTAAAGAAAAAGCTCCACAAATGTAGGAGAATGCAATTTTCACTTTTTTTATAACAGTTTTCATACTCTAGATATTCAACTTTTCATCGTTAATAAGTAGTCAGCCATCTTGATTCTCAAGCAAAGGATAATGGGTAAAGTATGACATCATAAAAGCTGTTGTCAGAAATTGAGAAAATTATTTCATCTATAACATGAGAAATACTGATGCGAATTAGTTCAAATTTTCGTTGTACTTATTACTCATGTATATAATTATAGTAATGGAAATGGGAATTTT